CTCAGCCTCCTGAGTTCAGGCAATTCTCCTGCCTCAGCCTCCTGAGTAGCTGGGACTACAGGCGCGCGCCACCATGCCCAGCTAATTTTTGTATTTTTAGTAGAGACGGGGTTTCACCATGTTGACCAGGATGGTCTCGATCTCTTGACCTTGTGATCCACCCGCCTCGGCCTCCCAAAGTGCTGGGATTACAAGCGTGAGCCACCGCGCCCGGCCTCATTTTTTCTTTTTCTTAAATAGACACAAGGTCTCACTATGTTGCTGAGGCTAAAACTCCTGAGCTCACGTGATTCTCCTTCCAAAGTGCTGAGATTACAGGTGTGAGCCATGAGCCATCACACCAGGCCAACCACAGATTCTCTTCAACCACAGTGCCCTGGGGTCTCAGGGATGGGGCCTACATGCAGGTTTCAGGGTGTGGAGGACTGGGGAGCACAGGAAGAGACATGGCCCACAGGGTACAGACTGCCCTCACATTTTTCTTTGTGATGTTCCTCACATCGTTCACGTATTTGATGTTCCCCTCGTGCTTCACGGTTCCAACAGCGATGGACTCCTCACACACTTCGGAGGCGACGTACTTTCCCACCTTTATGCCCAACTCTTTGAGGACTAGGTAGCCTGTGGGGGCCAGGGAGACTCAGAAGCATAAATGATGCTGAGCACACAGCAGCTCACCTCCTCCACTCCCTGCTATAGTAAAATGCAGATTTCCTCAGGACTGCATCACATGCGTTCAATCCAGGAAAGGCTGTACAGACACCATACATACTAGCTGTGTGAACTCCGCATGGGGGAAAAGAAGGACACCAAAACCAGAGAGCGGGAGTTGTTGCCTAATTTATCTCCAATTATACTTTCGCATGTGGAATGAAAATCGGTTGCAACATATCTGCACATAACAAAAAGCAAAGTGTAACAGCTAAGATGTACCTCCTTTTAAAATGACCAAGACTGCCCAGGCACGGTGGCTCATGCCTCTAATCCTAGCACTTTGGGAAGCCAAGGTGGGCAGATCACCTGAGGTCAGGAGTTCGAGACCAGCATAACCAACAAGGAGAAACTGTATCTCTACGAAAAATACAAAAATTAGCCAGGGATGGTGGCGAGCACCTGTAATCCCAGCTACTCGAGAGGCTGAGACAGGAGAATCGCTTGAACCCGGGAGGCAGACACCACAGTGAGCAGAGATCGCGCCACTGCACTAACAAATAAATAAAATACAAAGACCAAGACTGCCAGGTGGTTGAGAAGGTGGAGAGTTTTCTTCAGAGAAGGTAATCCCCCGGGGTCTTTCTTGCCCCGGATGAGACGCCCTAACCATGCCTTCTGACGCCTTGGCTACCCTCTTGCGATGCAGCAGCAGAGCATCCCCAGGTGTACCCCAAACTCACCTGTTGCGATTCCATCAAACAGAGACAGGACTCGAATGGGCCGCCTTCGGGCTGCGGGAATGGCAGGGTACAGCTTGGGGGCTTCCTGCCAGGTAAGAAAGGAGGTCATGGTGGTGAAAGTGCAGGGGAAAGACTCCAGCTCTAAGGGAGGGGCAGGCTGACCCTGCTCAGAAGGCTTCAAACAGTGCTGCAGCCACTGCAAAAAGCCCACTGAAGCCTTGATGGGGACTGGGGAGACAGTGTGTACCACGCGAGCCTGCATTTGGCCAGGAATGGCCAATTTATCCTTGGACACAGGCCAGATATGCACGCACAGATGCACACATGAAAAGGTTATCATCCCAGATGGGAACGACCTAGGGCGTGCCTCCCTCCAAGAACTAGCAAATTCATTTCTACGATTTCCTTCCCTCTCAGCTATGCTAATTCAGAAGACTACAACCATTTCTTTATATGCTGAGAAGCCGGCAAGGAGGGAGTGAACCCTGGCAAGGCTGAAAACGGTGCCCAGGAGCTGTCAATTCGACAGGTCTCTCAGCTGTTGAGGCTCCAAGAGGTTCCACTTGTACAATGCATCTTTACTTCTACTACTCTTTCTCTGAGAATTCCAGAGCATTCCAACACCCTGTGCCCCTGGGGTCTGTGGTGGTGGGGGCGGGAGCCTGTGGCTTACATATTCAAGCCCCGTGTCACTGGTGAAGAAGGCCTGTAGGCGCACGTTCCAGTCCTTCCGGCGCCGCAGGATGCCGTGACAGCGCTGCGGGAGACACATGTAGCAGCTCCAGGGCTCCTGCAGCTTGGCCTCGGCCGCGGTGCCTGTGCCCACCAGCACCTCCAAGCACTCCACACAGAAGCACCTGTACCCAGCAGCAGGGAGAAGGGATGCCTTTGTCATCCAGCTGGTCTCCTGTGACACCCCCTTGCCACTTTCCACAGGGAAATAGCAACCCCCCCCAAAAGCTTACCAAGGATCCACTGGTATGGGTTCACTGAGGTCTTTCTTGATTACCCCATCCCACTTATTCCATAGGCTCTCTGATCAAAAATGCTCTCCCAACAACCTACTTCACTCCATGGACATTTTGGATTACAGGCCAACTGGCAAATCAGGGAGTTACCTTTCCTGACACCCGAGTCATTCCCTTCCTACATGCTCTTAGACTATTAAGAGCACATCTAGCTGGGTGCGGTGGCTCACACCTGTCACCCCAGGGCTTTGGCATGCTGAGGTAGTAGAATTGCTTGAGCCCAGGGATTTGAGAACAGCCTAGGGAACATTTATACTTTTAATTTATAACCAAAAAATAGGCTAGGTGCAGTGGCTCATGCCCGTAATGCCAGCACTTTGGGAGTGCTGGGATTTGGGAGGCTGAGGCAGGCAGATCACCTGAGGGCAGGAGTTTGAGAGGAGCCTGGCCAACATGGTAAAACCCTGCCTCTACTAAAAACCCAAAAATTAGATGGGTGTGGTGGTGCACACTTATAATTCCAGCTCCTTGGGAGGCTGAGGTATGAGAACTGCTTGTACCCTGGGGGTGGGGGTTGCAGTGATCTGAGATCGTGCCACTGCACTCCAGGCTGGATGTCAGAGCAGGACTCTGCTTTAAAAGAAAAAAAGGGGGCCGGGCGCGGTGGCTCAAGCCTGTAATCCCAGCACTTTGGGAGGCCGAGGCAGGTGGATCACGAGGTCAAGAGATCGAGACCATCCTGGTCAACATGGTGAAACACCATCTCTACTAAAAATACAAAAAATTAGCTGGGCATGGTGGCGCGTGCCTGTAATCCCAGCTACTCAGGAGGCTGAGGCAGGAAAATTGCCTGAACCCAGGAGGCGGAGGTTGCGGTGAGCCGAGATCGTGCCATTGCACTCCAGCCTGAGTAACAAGAGCCAAACTCCGTCTCAAAAAAAAAAAAAAAAAAAAAAGAGAAAAAAAAAGCAAGACTCCACCTCAAATAAATAAACAAATAGCTGGGTGTGGTGGTGTGTGCCTGTAATCAAGCTACTCAGGAGGCTGAGGTGGGAGGATTGCTTGAGCATAGGAATTGGAGGCAGCAGTAAACTATCATCATGTCACTGTACTCTACCCTGGGCAACAGAGCGAGACCCTCTCTCATAAAAGAGAGCCCTTCCCTATACATGAGTTTTACTCCAAGTATGCTACAACCACAGCCACCACAAGTGTCAACCCCGTGTGCTGCTTCCAGCACAATTTAGCTCCCTGTTCCCATGCCTGGGATTCCATTAAACAGGCAACTGTCTGCAGACTGCAGGAACCGAGGAGCCTTGGGGGCCCACCCACATCCAGCCCACAGGACCCAGCGCTCACCGGCAGCAGCTTGTGTTGCTGCAGAGCAGCAGCTCTCGGCCCTCACAGCACACAGTGCAGTAAGACTGATAGCCATCATCATCATACATGTAAAACAGCTCGAGGAACCGATCCTGCCAGCGAGAGAGAAACACCAGTGAAATCAGAGCGCAGAGAAGCCAGGCCCTGCCAGCTTGTAGGTGGAGGTCCTAGGACACAGCCACAAAACACACTGCTGGTGGCTTGGTGTCCTTTAAAAGGACAACTGGCTGTGATACGTGTGCCTCCGGCCTCTAGGACAGCTCTCCCCGACCCTGCCCCAGCGGCGGCATGCAAGGCACCTGGGATGAGTGAGCTTCACTGATGCTCCACGCAGGTGCTGTTGGGAAGGACAGGGAAGAGTGGGGAGGCAGGGGGAGGAAGGTCCAGGGCAGGGGGAGGAGGACTCACCCGGCATGTCTGACAGAGGCCCCCCTCAAAGAGAGGGTGAAAGGACACGGGATTTTTCCTGCCACAAGACAAACAGCCATCTGTAAGAAAAACAGGGTTGCGGTTTGTGGCAATGGAGGCCCTGACACCAGCTGCTGATGCCTGGGGTCTCTCAGTTCTTGAGATTTTCCTCCGGGACAGCACCTTGCCTAGGACTTCTCATGCCTCAGGTCAGGCATCACAGCTTCTACCTTTCCACAGTGCTTTCAAGGTGCCATCCCTGCTTCACAGACGGGGAACATCAAGACAGGCAGGGGGCTGCCCTAGTTGGATGATGTCAGGCAGAACGATGAGCAGGGGGCCCTCCAACAGAAACAGGCTTTGAGGGCCTGGTGTGACAATCCTTGAGAAGCCTTAGATACTTCGAAACTAGGATTTTGCAGTGACTCCAATTGGCTTGTTGTCTCATGATGGGACTTGCCCACGCCCATGCCCTATAAACAGTAAATGGCTATAATTTCAGAATCCAGGTCCCTTAACCAGTAGGCAACCCTGCCTTCCTTTCATATCACCAGGTCAGCATGGAGTTGCATCCCTGGCTGGGAAGATAGGACCTTTATGAAGTCCATGACCAAGCATCCCTACCTAACTAGAAGTGTGAGTGAGCCTTGGGGAATAGGATTTCTAAACCGAAGCTCTTCCCGGGGTTCTCTGGGTCAGAGATGTGGTGTTTTCCTATTCAGCACTGAGTAACTGGGGGTTAAGAAACCAAGGGAGACTTCATCCTCACACATTCTGTATTCCATGAGGTATATTCTGGCCAGAGTATCCAATCAGTGGAAATCCCCAGCCAGTGCAAGCAGACTATTTAGCCTGACAGTGGCCACGTGTCTAAAAGCTAGTTAGGTGCAGCTCTTCTTTAGGAAGGCTCATGATACCAGTAATCTTGGTTTTAGGTTATGGTTCTCCCAGCCAAAGAGGCCAATCTTCCCTTCTTCCACACCACACCCTTCCTGTCCCTTTCTCTTAAGGGGCACAACTGGGTAATTCATTCCACAAACTGTAGCAACTAAGATGCAGGGACCAGGAATAGGACCACAGAGCTCTGGGTTAAACCCCGGCAGGGTGGATGAGCTGGGATAAGGAAGGCCTAGAGCCCCAGCCAAGGTGTGAAAGGGAAAGACTGAGAGGGAGAGAACGTTACCTTCCAGGCTGCTCTTGTTGTTGGCAACATCTGAAGCCATTTGTTCTATTGAAAAAGAAGGAGAAAGCATGAGATGAGGTTAGGGAGCCAAGTATGGACCAATTCCCGATCTGCGGAGTCCTCCTCCCATCTGCCCCGTGATCCCAAGGTAGCGGGTCCCCAACAATCACCTCGGGTCTGATCTTCATCCCCTCGGTCTTTGCCGTTGTTATAGCAATTTGTCTTGAGGCGCTTGGGTGGGGGGCAGTAGTCAGAGGCAGCTGAGTCGTCAGCTGTGCGTCTTCGAGTCTTGTTCTCTGTGAAAGGTAATTAGACTGCAGCCGTGGCTTGGTAGGAGGGTCCAGAGAGAATGCGGGCCCAGGACAAGACCATGCTATGCCTGGGTACCTGCTGCAATTGGGGCATAACAGGGGGCCACACTGAATGTATATGGCCCCTTGATGGGCAATTCACAACAGGAGCTCATTCAAAACCCCTTGCACCCAGGATCCTTAACCATGTTTACAAGGTTTTAAATGGCTAGGATGTAAAGGTGACTCAGCTCAGAGAGAAAGCTCAATTCAAAGCTAAAAGCCTGACATACCTATGTCTGTGATTTCTGATATCTCACATGCTGGGCAATAGCCATTGGGAGTGGCTACTGAGAACCTGAAACTGGTGAGTAAGGAAATGAATTCTAGACTCAATGTTAATTAAAACACTGACAAATGGGTCGACTAATTGGCTTATTACAACTAACCTAGACATATTAGTCTACTTTTTCAAATGAATATTTTATGAATTTAATTTCTGTTTAATCAACTACATCTGTAGTTAATAATCTGTATTTACTTAATACAGATTATTTTCATTGCAAATTTAGCATCAAAATTTAGATCTATAAAATATGTAATATGTAAAATAAGTGAAAATTTGAAAACAGCACTATAAATGTAAACTATCTCAATTTTTTTTTTTTTTTTTTAAATAAAGACGGGGTTTCACCATGTTGGTCAGGCTGGTCTTGAACTCCCGACCTCAGGTGATCCGCCCACCTTGGCCTCCAAAGTGCTTGAATTACAGGGGTGAGCCACCACACCCGGCCACACTATCTCAATTTTTATATTAGCTGGATATTGAAATGCTAACATTTTGGAAATTTGGTGATAAAAAAATCATGATTTGTATTAATTTCATCTGCTGCTTTTTACTTTTGTTTTGTTTTGAGATGGAGTTCCACTCTTCCTTGCTGCCCAGTCTGGAGGGCAATGGCACAATCTTTGCTCACCGCAACTTTCACCTCCCGGGTTCAAGTGATTCTCCTGTCTCAGCCTCCCGAGTAGCTGGGATTACAGGCATGCACCACCACACCTGGCTAATTTTTGTATTTTAGTAGAGAACGGGTTTCACCATGTTGGCCAGGCTAAGAGATCTGCCTGCCTCAGTCTCCCAAAGTATTGGGATTATAGGTATAAGCCACCGCCTCCGGTCTCCTTTTTACTTTTTAAATGTTCTCTTTTTTTTTTTTTTTTTTTTTTGAGATCGGTTCTCATTGTGTCACCTGGGCTGGAGTGCAGTGACATGATTTCAGCAAACTGCAGCCTCAACCTCCTGGGCTCAAGCGATTCTCTCACCTCAGCCTCCACAGGCACACACCATCTCGCCCAGCTAATTTTGTATTTTTTGTATAAACAGGGTTTCACCGTGTTGCTCAGGCTGGTCTTTAACTCCTGAGCTCAAGCGATCTGCCCACCTCAGCGTCCCACAATGCTGGGAAATCCAAGGTATGGTTATTTGCATCCCAGAGTGCTGGAATTACAGGCGTGAGCCACCAAACTCATTTTCAGTGAGACTGCTAGAAAAAATTTTAATTACATAACGTGGCTCCCATTCTATAAGTGAGATTTTGTAAAACTCATTTGTATTTCTAGTCCATCTATACAGAAAATCTTAATGGACACGGTTAAATTTGACTCTGACCCTAGGAAAAAAAATTATACAGCCATTAAAAATCATAAGGACCCTTTAGTGACAAAATGACATTGGACAGTGCTTACAGTATTGATATTGAGAAATGAAGGAGAAAGCAGGCATCCAACTAGTGTACAGAAAAATCTGGAAGTATGTGCACCCCAATGTTAACCCAGAAGGTATTTGTGAGGGTGGGATGTGAAGGGAGAATGGGGAGGGAGTTCAGATTGACTTTTCAAGAAATTTGATTCTTTTCCAGTGACCATTTTATATGCAAAGAAATCAGAAAAAGTGCAGAGAAAACAGTGTACAGTCAAAAGACGGGGAGGAAATACCGTATTTCTTTGATTCTAATTTCCTACTGCCTGCACGACGCACCTTCGACTTATTAACCACTTTTGAGGGGGAAACAAAACAAAACAGAAAAAAATTAGATTGAACGTATGGACTGTTTTCTTTCCTGAGATAAGGTCCTGTTCTGTGGCCCAGGCCTGAATGCAGTGGTGTGATCTTGGCGCACTGCAACCTCTGCCTCCTGGGCTCAAGCCAATTCTCCCACCTCAGCCGCCCAAGTAGCTGGGACCACAGGCGCATGCCAACGACAACAGACTAATTTTTGTATTTTTCACCATGTTGTCCAGGCTGGTCTCTATCTACTTGCCTCAAGCAATCTGCCCGCCTTAGCCTCCCAAACTGCTCAGATTACAAGTGTGAGCCACTGTGCCTGGCCTTTAAATGTATGGATTGTAAGACAAGTCCTGGATTTCAAGAAACCAGTTATCTTCTAATGGGAAATATATGGTACTGGTCAAAATGTTAGCAGGTGGCATACTGTTCTTCTTCAACAACTATTTTTCCTTTGATGAAAACATTGTATCTTGACATCAAGACAGATATCAGATTCAAACAAATTCTACGTACATGACCATTAGCAAGAAAGTGGCCAGGGAAGCCAGACAGGGCTGGCACAGCCTTCATATGCCTGGTTGTATTTTTTCTAACATTCAAAGTTGAGACCAGCTGCTAGAAAGCTGGGTGGGGTGACTGGCAGCAGGGGTGGCTGACTCTCCCAAGAAGTTGTCCCACCAGCAGAGACAGCGGGTGCTGCTATGGGGACTCATTCCCACCTGGTTGCGTGTTGCTGGGTTTGAGGCCCTCGATCCCAGTGGGCTTGAAGCCCCCGTGGGCCCACTCCAGCATGGGCTTCAGCTGGTCCTCCAATGAGTCTCCAGGGCTGCTGGGGAAGGTCTTGCCAGCTCGCACCCTAGCTTTCTGCAAAGGCAGAGTCTGTGATGAATGGGGGGTGGGGAGGAGGTGCTCGACAGGCCACACCCAGGGATTCCCCCAGCCAGGGCCTACATTCCCCTTCACACTGGGCCCTTTCATAGCCAGACAGCTGTCCTGGGCTGTGGTATGTGTCAGGGAAGGAGGAGCCTGTGCAGGGAGAGGCCTCGGAAGGGGGATTGTGGTTGAATCTTTCCATGCAAGCACCCAATAGGATCTCTTCCCCCTAGGAATGTGAGTGGTCACTTCCCTCTCAAAGGGCAGATACATCAGAATTAACTCTACCACTTTAAGATACAGAAGCCCCAGCCAAAACTAGCTCATCTCCTCTGTATCTTATATAAGAAGGCACTCGATTTCTTGTTTTATCTCCCTAAAGATGCGGACATTAACATGTGTCCTACATAAAGCACCATGAGGATTTCAGTGTCTAATGAAGCCTATGGCAACTAGAAGAGGCTGGCTCTTAAATGCTGAACAAAGGTGGGGGGAAAAAAATCAAGGTAAAGGGAGGGACAAGGTGTAATGGTTCGTCAGGATTAACATGGCCCACTGATAGAAGGCAGCTGGCCTCCACTGCTGTCTTAGCCATGAACTCCACCCCTCAAAAGGAGGCTCTGAGGTCTCTGGAAAAGCATATTCCCTGACATGAATATTGAACCTCTAACTGCCTGTGCTCTTTCCTTCTGATTCAGTTAGTGGTCCCAACAAGAGGCAGCTGGGATGGCTCAAATCCCTTTGCAGGAAGGCTGATTTGGTGGCCATCATATTGTTGGTATTTACCTCCTCCCTGGCCACCCTGTCCCCTCCAAACCACCCCTGGAAACACTGAGCTAGGTTTCTGTGGGTCTCCTGCGTCATCCCTGCTCTCAGGGCCTGGCCTTTTTTCCCTCATCCCATGTTACCTCCAGAGCATGGTACATGGCTTTTCGATAGGAGACGAGCTTATTGAAGGTGGCCAAATTAAAGTGCTGGCTGAACAGCCCCAGTGCCACCAGTTTGTCTGCAGAGACCTAGAAGAGAAAGACATCATCAACATCCACCTACAGGTGTGTCCCGGGTGCCATGTCTATGACAAGGTTGTCCATCAGATGCAGAAGATTTTCATACACTTAAACCAAGAGCCCATTCCTGGGGATAAAGTCCACAGATATCTATGTGAAAGGAAGTAAAGAAAAAAGCAGAAAAATAGAAATGACACAAAGTCTCAACACAGATATCCAGAACCTTGTTAGACATGACGTTGTAATGGTGAACAAGAATGATACTTGGAATGAATGCAATTAGTTGAACCCTGTGTTTGTGAGCTCTGAGGCTCAGTCCTAAAATGCTCTGTGGATGCTCCAGCATTGGGGGTTTGCACATATTCCTTCTTCTTTCCTAAGCACGATATCTCTTTACTTTTTACCCTTTTATTAAAACTATTTCAGGCTTGCATGGTGGCTCATGCCTAATACCAACACTTTGGAAGGCTGAGGCAGGTGGATCACTTGAGGTTAGGATTTCAAAACCAGCCTGGCCAACATGATGAAATCCCCCGTTTCTTTCTTTATTTTTATTTCTATTTCTATTTTTGAGACGGAGTCTTGCCCTGTTGTCCAGGCTAGAGTTCAGGGGCACAATCTTGGCTCACTGCAACCTCTGCCTCCCAGGTTCAAGCCATTCTCCTGCCTCAGTCTCCTGAGTAGCTGGGCTTACAGGCATGCGCCACCATGCCCACCTAAATTTTATATTTGTATTAGAGATGGGGTTTCACCATGTTGGTCAGGCTAGTCTCAAACTCCTGACCTCATGATCCGCCCGCCTAGGCCTCCCAAAGTGCAGGGATTACAGGCATGAGGCACCGCTCCCGGCCAAAAATACAAAAAATTAGCCGAGCGTGGTGTCAGGCGCCTATAATGCTAGCTACTCGGGAAGCTACGGCAGGAGAAACACTTGAAGCGAGACGTGGAGGTTGCAGTGAGCCAAGATCATGCCCTTGCACTCCAGCCTGGGCAACAAGAGCAAAACTCTGTCTCACGAATAAAATAAAAAAATAAAACAAGTCCCCCTAAAGAATGTGTTTAGGACACAATGCCTGACACAGTAAGCACCTCTCACTTACTGTGATTATTTACCTTTAGTTCTTGTGATTTAATCCATATTCTACAAGTCTCCTGATGTCCCAAGTCCCCAGACCAAGCATGAACTGGCTGAGTGGCCAGGGAGAGAGAAAATGGACGTTCAGGGCTGCTAATCAGAATCGGAAGACAAGGCGAGACACAGTGGCTCAGGACTAGATTCTCAGCACTTTGGGAGTGGGATTTGGGAGGATTGCTTGAGCCCAAGAGTTTGACTAGCCTGGACAACATAGCAAGACCCCACCTTCCCCAGAACCTAAAGCACAATTTAAAAAAAAACCGTCTTTACAAGAGATTTTAAGATTGAGCCAAGCACAGCGGTATGCACCTGAAGTCTTAGCTACTCTGTTCAAGCAGGATTGCTTGAGCCCAGGTTATTGAGGCTGCAGTGAGCCACGACAGCAACATTGCACCACTCCAGCCTGGAGGACCTCAGCTCTTAAAAAAAAAAAAAAGCTGCAAGACACAGGGAATGTTCTATTCTCTGTGCTCACACTCATACAAACCTCCGTTTGATACTGGACAGCCTGACTTCCTGTGTGGGGGTGTGACCACCATTGGTGAGAAAATACTGGGGCTCTGGTAGGGGAAAAAATGCTCATACACAAGTGCTGGTTCCAGTGCTCAGTGGCTCCAACACAACCCAAACAGCGCTCACATGCCAGGCAGGCACTTTCCCAGGCCAGAGCCCGGTCCCATACGGTCATCTCATCCCGTGATGCTGACAGCACCACACTGCATTGTATTAGCCTCAGATTCTGTCTTGCAAAGTGCATTTTATGGCTCGATGGGGCAAAGCAATTGCAAACAATCTATCTTCCTTCAGTTCACAGAAGTTATCGCTCTCTCAGCCCTGGAAGTAGCGGCCTCACTGCCAGCATGAGCCCAGGACTTGTCCTTCTGCTCCCTCTGCTGGTCATGGCAGCCATCTGCATGCAGAGTCTCTCCTACCAGGGAGACCCACACCCTATTATTTTAGCCCTTGGGGAACTTCAATAGGTTCATGGCAAATGGCCCCTTGGTAGCTCAATTCATGGGAAAAACAGAATCTCTGCCTGAGGCTGAATCTCAGGAATGTATACCCCTGGCTTGCTGCTGCGGCAACTCCAACCTCATTTAGCCTCTCTCTGAGGCTAACTTAGCCTCTCTTTTAGGACTCTGAGGGTGGGAATAATATTTACTTCTAAGAGACTATCACAGGAAAGGTCTCTCTGATCAAAGTCTTTCTTGAGGCCAGGTGCAGTGGCTCACGCCTGTAATCTCAGCACTTTGGGAGGCTGAGGCTGGTGGGTCATCTGAGGTGAGGAGTTGGAGACAAGCCTGGCCAACAGGCTGAAACCCTGTCTCTACTAAAAATACAAAAATTAGTCGGGAGTGGTGGTGGGCGCCTGTAATCCCAGCTACTCAGGAGGCTGAGGCAGGAGAATCACTTGAACCCAGGAGGTGGAGGTTGCAGTGAGCCAAGATTGCACCACTGCACTCCAGCCTGGGCAACAGAGCAAGACTCCATCTCATAAAAAAAAAAAAAAAAAAAAATCAAGAACAGCCTAGTTATGCCCAACACAGCTCTTCCCCAGCTAAATTTCATTGTCAAGAAAGATTTTAAATGGTTAATGTCAATCATCAAGAGACTCTGAAATAACCAATTCTACTAAAACCCTTTTCATAACTGGTATCAGGTGATCCTAAATCCAACTGCAGGCCACCAAGGCACTTGTGCCTGTCTCCTTCCCCCCCAGGGCTAAATGACAAGAGGCCTCGGCCATGCTTCTGGTCCCTTCCACGCTTCTTCACTGAACACCTTTGGGTACCTACTCATGTGGCCACTTCTGGCCAGAGTCTACACTGGTGATTCGGCCCCCAGAAAATAAATCTAAGAATAACATAAAATCCAGAACTTTCTAGCACTTTTGTCCCCTCTATGAGTAGACCCATAAGATCCTAAGAATCTGCTGTCGCTGGTTAACAAGGTAAATTTTGTCCTTCCTCCCGTGCAGTGTGAAGGCATAGGCTCGCCCATCTGCAGAATGCAATCGCAGGGCTCCATCTCCAAAGGCAATTGCAGAAGGAAGGAAGACACAGCCTCAAGCCTGCAGACCCCCTTTCCTTCCCCCAGACTCACCTCGGAGAACTTGCCATCGCCAAACCACTGGACCCACCGCATGCCCGACATGGCCTGTCGCTTGGAGGTGGCCTTCCAAGATACCACCATGGCGGGCCACCAGGAGAAGCCCTTGATCTTCCCCCACACGAGGTCCCCTATTCCAAACTCCTTCCCATCCTGGAATAAAAACCACATAAAGAAATCCCAGTAAGGAGAGGCACCCGGGGCCAAGTCGCATCCACATCACTGACCCTGAGGGCAACAAAAACCTTGCTCAAAATGTCACATGTAGCCAGATGCTATGGCTCATGCCTGTAATTCTCAGTACTCTGGGAGACCGAGGCACGAGGATCACTTGAGGCCAGAAGTTGGAGACCAGCCCAGGCCATATAGCAAGACTCCATTTCCACAACAGAATTTAAAAATTAGCTAGGTATGGTGGTGCATGCCTGTAGTCTCAGCTACTACAGAAGCTGAGATAGGAGGATCGCTTTAGGCCAGGAGTCTGAGACCAGCCTGGGCCCCATAGCAAGACCCCTTGTATACAAAGTAAAATGTAGTAATGGACATAGAAAAAAGGGATCCTAACAACACATAAATACATCCATGTGTAAGGAGTCTTCATGCAGCAATGCTTGAATCAAAACAAACAATCTCAACTGGTTAATTAAGCTATGATCCAGACCACTGGATTCATTATACAGACATGAACCTCAGACAACTCTAGTTCTTAACAGGTAAAAGAAAAAAAAGCCAGTCTACAAAGGTGTACGACGTACAATATATACAGTATGTGCACTCTGATGAACAGAATCACAGTATGTATTACATATGCAGCTGGAGTCCTTATATAAATGCCATGTTCAGAAAATCACAGTGTTCAGGTGATTAATACTGGCATTTGACTTATGTCTGGGAGAGGATTCAGGTGAAGAAGGGACCATGGTGCATATGGAAGATATTTAGAATTCAAATATTTCAATTATTACAATTACAAAAATTCTAACAGCTGTTGGTCACTCCATGTTTACTGACAGCAGCAGGTAACTGGTTGGGCCCCTTATTGAGAGTCCTCAATCACCCTGGGCAGGGGTCCCTCTCGGCGGTACCTGATACTCTGAACTGTCTCCATCTCTACTGTCTGCCTCCACCTGCGGGGACTCCATGCCGTCCTGCTGGCTGTCCTGGGCTAGGTGGGTGTAGGGGGTACTGCTGCTCTGGGGCATCACATCTGTGTCCTCTGTATCGTCTGTGAGGTCGATGGTGAGGTAAGGGCTGGGAGGGGACGACCATGATGTGCCTGCCGATGCTGTCGCCCGCCGTCTCAGGGACTGTGGACAGAAGGACATAGTTTGGGCCACAGCAAAGGATGTCGGTGACCAGAGACCAACGGCACCCCCAAATGCCTCCTAGGCAGAAAGAAAGAAGAAAGACCGAAGTTAAAGAGAGGAGAGACCGCTGAAGAAGGTTCTCCAGGAACATGTCTCCCTTAAGAGGTGGGAGAAAGTCATTGTAACTGTCCCAGCAACAGAGACAGAAAGAGGACAAAGGCACAAATGATGGGTAATGACGAGGGACTCCAAGCCTGGAGCAGGTCACTGGCTTCTTTAAGCACTTACTGTGCATGCGGCCATTCTTGCAGCGACAGTGAAGTGTTGCCTCAAGACAGGTGAAAAAGACATTAGTGAGAAGACTGTCCGTAAGTTAGTGGTTTCTACCTTGTCTCCAAGGTCGAGCAAGAACCAAGTCAACAGGGAAAGCCTCCATTCCCAACAGAGCGTCATCTGAGATCAGACCAGGAGAAAAGCCAATAGGCTTAAAGGGAAGCTTACCCAGGAGAGACAAGAAAAAGCAAGAACCTGAAAAGCAGTGTGAAAAAAGGACACAGATTATCCACCAGCCACAGCCAGGAGTGCAGTGAGGGAGGCACGTCTCCCAGTGAGAGGCTGGGGGCAGGGGTCTGGGCAACTGGGGAACCAACCCTGGTAGCCGGGAACTCCACGGGGGACTCCTCCACATGGCTGCGGCCCTGCCGGCCTCGGGTGGAACGTAGGGAAGGCCTGTGCCTCTCCCTGCTGGAGGCACTGTTGTTATTTCGGGTTCGGACCTGGAAGCAAGAGAGGACACGCACTGGGCCTGAGGTGACTGGAGGCCTGGGGTCTGGCGGGGCCAGGAGGTAGCCAGCTTCAGGACAACTGGAAGTGAACAGGTGATGAGGTAGATAGGGACTCTGGACTGAGAGCGGCAAGAATTCCCCAGCTCTTGGAATAGGGGTGACAGGGTGGCCAGCTAGGCAGCCCCACAATTCCCAGCAGGTCCTGCTCTGCCTGTCACAGCAGACAGACATGACCAGCTGAAATGGTACCTGCCAACTGGGATTGAAATATAAAAATCTGGCCAAGAGCAGTGGCTCATGCCTGGAATCCCAGCACTTTGGGAGGCGACGGCAGGCAGATCATTTGAGGTCAGAAATTCAAGACCATCCTGGATAACATGGTGAAACCCCATCTCTACTAAAAATACAAAATTTACTTGGGTGTGGTGGTGGGTGCCTGTAGTCACAGCTACTCAGGAGGCTGAAGTAGGAGAATCCCTTGGACCAGGGAGGCAGAGGCTGCAGTGAGCTGAGGTCAGGCCACTGCCCTCCAGCCTGGGCAACAGAGAGTATCATTTAAAAAAAAAAAAAAAGAAAAATTCATGTTCACTCTAAACCAAACTTTTATGCCAAAGAATTAAGGAGGCCAATGACTGGGTTCAGAAAGGCACCCGATCATCAGTCCGGAGGAGAATCCCTGAGGCTCTATATTCATTGTCAAAAATGGCATGAACTTGTTGCTGCAGAACCTGAGTTCAAATTCCGCATAGAAGAGTTCCCGTTTAACCTGAGTAAGCTGCTGAAATCTTCTCTCATCTCCACAAGGTGGATGATACAGACCATCCTGGGCAGGGAAGACTGTCACCCACACCTGGGATAGGAGCTGAGTGTCAGTCTGGTTTCTAAAGGGCTGGGTGACCATGAGCAATAACTGCCTTCCCATTGCCAGACCTAAAAACTCTGATCCACAGAATCCACCCACAGAAGTGGTGGACTTGCAAGGTAATTGGCAGCTGAGCCATCCGTCCTGCAATCTCTATCACCCTTGGGCAGCTCCAAGATTATACAAGAACTGAAAAACCACCTGAAAAAAATGGCATATACCGGCTGGGCGCAGTGACTCACGCGTATAATCCCAGCACTTCGGGAGGCCAAAGCAGGCAGATGACGAGGTCAGGAGTTCGACACCAGCCTGGCCAACATGGTGAAACCCCGTCTCTACTAAAAATCCAAAAATTGCCGGGCGTGGTGGCTTAAGCCTGTAATCCCAGCACTTTGGGAGGCCGAGGCGGGTGGATCACGAGGTCAAGAGATCGAGACCATCCATGGTCAACATGGTGAAACCCCGTCTCTACTAAAAATACAAAAATTAGCTGGGCATGGTGGCGCGTGCCTGTAATCCCAGCTACTCAGGAGGCTGAGGCAGGAGAATTGCCTGAACCCAGGATGCGGAGGTTGCGGTGAGCCGAGATCGCGCCATTGCACTCCAGCCTGGGTAACAAGAGAGAAACTCCGTCTCAAAAATAAATAAGTAAATAAATAAATAAAAAATAAAAATAAAAGAAAGAAAATCTTCCAGGAGGCCGGGTGCAGTGGCTCATGCCTGTAATCCCAGTACTTTGGGAGGCCAGGGCATGTGGATCGCTTGAAGTCAAGAGTTCGAGAACAGCCTGGCCAACATGGTGAAACCCAGTCTCTACTAAAAATATAAAAAATGAGCTGGGTATGGTGGCACGTGCCTATAATTCCAGCTACTGGGGAGGCTGAGGTAGAATTGCTTGAACCCGGGAGGCGGAAGTTGCAGGAAGCTGAGATCGCACTATTGCACTCAAGCCTGGGCAACAAGAGTGAAACTCCATCTCAAAAAAACAAAAACCTTCCAGAGACTTGCTTATATTTTCTAGAGTCAAAACATTTGTTTGTCTCTTTCTCTCTCTTAAAACCTCCCCTAGGGAGATCTAAGACATGTTTACCATGCTATGTAGCGTGGTGGCTAAAAGTGCTTTGGCTCAGGGTGTGGCTACTTACAGCTGGGCTTTCTGACCGAGTCCTGGTTTCCCGGAAGAGCTTCGGCATCACTGGGGTGTCAGAGCCATCCCCATCTTCCCCGTCGCCATTGCCTGTCAAGTCCTTTATAAGGAAACATGATGAACTTTTCAATATCGATAAGAAGTCACACAAGCAAAACAGTGTAAAAGTAAAAAATCCGTCATCATATTGAAACTACAATCATACTACTAATTCAAGAGACCAAAACACATTTTCAACTGCCTTATTTTGTCCCTAGATTCTGGGGACAAAATTTCTACAAATTCAAGACAGGACTGAAAGATAAAAGAAACGAGGCAACTGCAATACGCAAGACTGCTCGCCTGTGCCTGGCAGGGAGACCGGGTCACTCACTGCGACACACCGCATATGGGCACAGACACAGGCCAACCACGAGAGCTGTCCAGGAAGCAATGCCATGAAACCTGCCCCATGTCATAAAGGCCTCCTCGTGCAGGCTTCATACCCCTCACCAAAACCCAACATAAGCCAAACACAAAGACTGAAGCAGTGAGCAGCTAGGTCTGGCTCGAGTGCTGAGCACTGGCCTTCACTCACCAACCGTGTGGCCTTGAGTCCACTTCCCTCACTTTAAAATTGCAGTAACAGTACTTCCCTTGTAACACAACAGGGTTACATCAAGAATCCAATAATGTGCTGGGTGTGGTGGCTGACACCTGTAATCTCAGCACTTTGAGAGGCCGAGGCAGACTGAGGTTACCTGAGGTCAGAAGTTTGAGACCAGCCTGGCCAACAGGGTAACACCCTGTCTCTACTAAAAATATAAAAATTAGGCTTGGAGTGTAATCCCAACACTTTGGGAGGCCGAGGCAGGCAGTCAGGAGTTCATGACCAGCCTCACCAATATGGCGAAACCTCATCTCTACTAAAAATACAAAATTTAGCTGGGCATGCTGGCAAGCACCTGCAATCCCAGCTGCTCAGGAAGGCCGAGGCAGGAGCATCGCTTGAACCTGGGAGGTAGAGGTTGCAGTGAGATCACGCCACTGCACTCCAGCCTGGGTAACAGACAAGTCTCTGTCTCAAAACAAAATGAACAAACAAAAAAAAAACAAATATTTGGGCAAGAGATTTCACTACTGTCGCTGGTAACTAGCCATCAGGAACAAAATAGCAGTGCTGAGCCTCTGATCCTGCAGCCTCCCTAATTCCTCCCAGAGCTCGGGTGCCTCACTGTCTGAGTCCCCCAGTAGGTTGCCCATCACCAAGAGAAGGGAAGCAGAGGGTGCGTTTTCACTGCTTAGGACTGTTTTGACTGACACTGGCTCTGAGTAAAAGCAACCCAGCTGACCAACTCTACGAAGAGTAATTAGGAAACAGAAGCCATCAGTAAAGGCAGGAACACCAAACATGATGGGAAAAAATCCAGCTTTGGAAAAGTAAATGATGAAGTAGAAACCTTGATAATGTAGCAAGTCTTAAATGATATAATAATTGTTTGAAATTTCTTAAAATAAGCTTAGATAAGTTTATTCCAGCTTGTAAAAAAATTCCTTGAGCCCATACAATCCTGACATCAAAATCGCAGATACATTTAAAGAAATAAAATCGGCCAGGCACAGTGGTGCACGCCTGTAATCCCAGCACGTTGGGAGGCTGGGACAGGTGATCACTTGAGGCCAGGAGTTCGAGACCAGCCTGGCCAACACATGGTAAACCCCTATCTCTACTAAAATTATGAAAAAATTGCCCAGGTGTGGTGGCACATCACCTGTAGTCCCAGCTACTCAGGAGGCTGAGGCAGAGGAATCGCTTGAGCCCAGGAGGCAAGAGGTTGCAGGAGCCGAGATCGTGCCACTGCACTCCAGCCTGGGCAACAGACTGTCTCAAAAATAAATAAGCAAGGCCGGGCGCGGTGGCTCAAGCCTGTAATCCCAGCACTTTGGGAGGCCGAGGCGGGTGGATCACAAGGTCAAGAGATCGAGACCATCCTGGTCAACAAGGTGAAACCCCGTCTCTACTAAAAATACAAAAAATTAGCTGGGCATGGTGGCGCGTGCCTGTAATCCCAGCTACTCAGGAGGCTGAGGCAGGAGAATTGCCTGAACCCAGGAGGCGGAGGTTGCGGTGAGCCGAGATCGCGCCATTGCGCTCCAGCCTGGGTAACAAGAGCGAAACTCTGTCTCAAAAAAATAAATAAATAAATAAAATAAATAAGCAAATAAAAAAATAAAATCATACTCCCATTTCATTCATGAATACATGAATAAAATCAACTTCATAATGCACCATGACCAAGTAGGACTCATTGCAGGAATAAAAAGATGGCTTGCTATCCAGTAGTCCCCTCTTACCCAGTGGGGATACATTCCAAGCCTCCCCATGGCTGCCTGATACCTCAGAGCATGGAGCCCTATATGTGCTGCATTTATATCTATATCTACATACCTATAAAGTTTAATTTATAAACTAGGCACAGATTAACAGCTAATATTAAAATAGGACAACTACAATATACTGGGTTTTTGTTTTGTTTTGTTTTGTTTTTAAGACGGGGTTTCACCATGTTGGTCAGGCTGTTCTTTAACTCCCAACCTCAGGTGATCCGCCCACCTTGGCCTCCAAAGTGCTTGGATTACAGGCGTGAGCCACCACACCCGGCCCAATATACTGTTAATAAAAGCCATGTGAATTCAGCTTCTCTCTCAAAATATCTTATTGTATTCTACTCGGAGTTCATCCGTCCTTCCATGGCGTATGACCTGGTGCCTTCCTCCTTTGCACTTTTATGAATGTAGGCTCTATCAGGCATCCTCTTCTGCAGGAGTCTGGTTTCACTGCCGTCTTGTTTTGGATGATTTCCTTTCTCCTTAATCAACTTCGGCTCTTCTGAAAACGTAGCAACAGCTTTTTCTTTTTATTTATTTATTTATTTTTTTTACTATCTCCAGTAATGGCTATAAGCAAAACAGCTTTTTCATTGGCAAATGCAGCCTCTCCAGTAATTTTTACAGTCGAAACCTATTCTTGCATCTGTGTAACCATCCCTTACTCGAAGTAAATGGTTTGGTGTCAGGGGATCCCTTGCTTTAGGCTCAATGCTTTCTGGCACAACACACTGCTGTCAATCCGAACACATTTCTGTTCCTGTCTTGCACCTATGCATTTCATGCCTTTCCCACCTTAACTACACACTTATCATGCAACATGGCCATAACTTTTGCAGTTTGAGGCACAACAGCAAAACTAGCATGAATTTCTTTTTCCTTCTTCACCATTATACAGCTGGAAGATTTGTTCTTACCATGGACCTAGCAACTTCAGCATAAGATTTTTTCCTTCCTGGACAGGCATGGTGGCTCATGCCTGTAATCCAAGCACTTTGGAGGCCAAGGCGGGTGGATCACCTGAGGTCGGGAGTTCAAGACCAGCCCGACCAACATGGTGAAATCCCGTCTTTAAAAAGATTTTTTCTTTCCTTATTGAGAACTTCCTTCCACTTTTTCACTTAAAGGAAACACTTCATAGCTTATCTTTGACGTAACTGAATTGCCAGCCTCATCGCTCCTGCACTTTGGGGCCATTATGAACTACAAGGAGCATTACTTGAACACAGGCACTGTGATACTGCAACTGATCAGATCACGGAGATGGCCGGTAGCACCTAAGCATAGAGATGCTGGAAAAGGGCAGGACTCTGATCCTGGGAAGGATGGAGCAGGAAGGCTGAGATTCCATCATGCTACCAGAATGGCACTCAGTTTAAAATGTATGTACATTGTTTATTTCTGGGATTTACCATTTGATATTTCCAATTTAATACAGATTGCAGTTGACCGCAAGCAACTGAAATCATGGAAAGCAAAATGACAGATAAGAGGGGACTGCTATATTAGAGATTTATCAATGTAACTGATGTCCAGATTAAAAAAATAATTCCAAATATATGCAGAAAGTGTCTACCTTGGCAACCCTCCATACATTCAGATGCTAGTTCCTATGGGCCTCAGGTTGCCCATGTGCTGAAAGCAAAAGACGACATCCCTGAGCCTGCAAAAGGGAGAGCAGAGACCGTACCTGCGTATAGCTTAGCAGACTGGACACCTCCCTCTTGGAGAGTCTCAAGCTTGATCTTCGGCCTGTGGAGGAAACAGCCAGAGTCTGTTTTGAGGGGGCAGGCACCAGCCAGGGGAAGCTAACAGGGGTTGTTCTCCGTGGCCTGCGATCTCCCCAACACTATTGTCAGCCACAGGGGTTTGCCCTGAGCTCCCCGGTATCACTCATCCTCTCCACTGATATTATTCATAAGGCCACAGAGGCCTGGGCCCAAAACAACACTGAAGTTACCAGGAAGGGGAGCCCTCCAGTTCCTCCAGCAAGGTGCTGTCCATCCAGGGACCACTAACTACATTTCCAGGAACAATTCACTGCCTGCCATGTCAGCCGCATCTCAAGTGCTCACATGTAGAGTGTGGCTATTGTGGGGAACAATGCAGAAATAGAACGCTTTCACGCTCACAGGAAGTTCCATGGGATGGCACCGCTGAGAGGACAATGCAGGGCTTTCCAACCCAGCTGGGGCGGGATCCCAACTGAGCTGGCTGGGAGCTGCTCAGGGCAGGGTGGAAAAGGACCTCCCGTTCCGAACCCCAGCCCTGCTCTATCGGGGGAGAGGGTCGGCAGAAGACCACCCCTGTCATGACTGGCAGAGGACATGAAACCATCACCCTTGTGTTCCTCTCAGAGCCCCAGCTGAGATGAAAGTCCCACAGGAGAGGCCATGGGCTGCAAGCAGGCGTGACAGGCTCGGCCCTGCATCCCTCCTTGCTCTCTTCCCTCCTGGGGGACTGTGGAGGTGGTCAGACTCTCCCCAAAGCCTCCAGTGGTCTGCAGTGACTGCTCACTGTGTCAGCGCCTAACCCCACCCCAGTCCCCATGGCCCAGCCACCTCTGATTTCGGGGGTGCGGATGGCCTCCAGGATTGGGGGTGAGTCGGAGGACTGGTCACTGCAGGCCCCATTGACGAGGATGGAGTCTTCCCTCCCGCCGGCGTCCTCCTCTCCACTGAGATGCCTGGTGTCTCCCTTCATGCTTTCCTGTGGGATAAGCCAGAATGGGTGAGGTGGAAGGGAAGCAGGGGCACGAGATGGGCAGTGTTCCCCAAGACGCCCCACCATGGGCGCTATGTTCTCAGGCCCCAGGACGCATTCGCAGGATGATGCTCTTGCCCAAGCACCCCACCCAGGCTGCCCCCCATAGCCTTCCTCTCACCAAGCTCGGAGGCTCAGGACTTGGTTCCATGTGGACAGTCTATCCCGAAGGCTCAGACACCAGCACTCAGGACAGAGGAGGGGCCAGGGCTAGGGTCCCAGGCTCAGACTGCTCTGTGCAACTAGCCGGCCCCTTCAAACAATGCCATTTAGGACCTGCCTGCCCCGGCCTGTCTGCCGCCAGCCTCTGTCCCCTCTGGCCCTGGCCCCTTCTCCCTGCTCAGCCTCTGCAGGGGCTCAGGAAGCCAGTGCATTATTTTCCCTCCTGACCCCTTTGTTTGCTCTCTCCCTTCCCCTCAATCTCCAGGTCCTCTTCCCACCCGTCCCCTCCTCCCCCACAGAACCGCTTCTCTCCTCTCCATGGCAGCACAAGCCCCGCCTCACCCCATCCTCCAGGGCCCATTGGTCTGCTGGCCTGTCGATCACTCCCCTCCTCCCTCACCAGCTGGGGCTCACAGTCCCAAGTTCCCAAGAAGGGAAGGATGAAGGAGGCACTGGCAGAAAGGATAGGGGCAGTTAACAGGAGGGGCACTCCCCAGATCACTGTAGCCTCACCCTTACCTCTGGGACTTGGCCTCCCCACTGCTGCCCCTCCTGGTCAGGTAAATCAGCTAAGACACAGGACCAGGGCCACACTGATGGCTTGGCAGGCTGTGACCTCTGGGCTGTCCCATTGCCTGCAACATTGTAGGCACACAGATTTTGGTGGATGCAAGAACCTGCGCCTCTCCCTATGGAGACTGGGAAGCTCACCTCTCGCCTTATAGAAAAAGAAAACTGACATGCAGACTAGGTTATTCTCCATGGCCAAACATCCCATTTAAGACATGGGGCCAGGATTACAGAGAACGAGTAAAAAACTCCAGGACACAAATGCCAGCTGAAACCGAGTTTTCTAATAGTCACTTGCCTTTGCATTTTGTTCCACCTTTGGTTGGCAAAAATATTATAAAAGCCTTGGCACAACGTGAAGCCCCCAGTCCCCCATCCCTGAGCCCCATACACCTCCAGGCGACTCACATCATATCCTCTTGCCTGGAACCCTGACTGAGACAAGCTTCCTCCATAAGCCACTGCCCATATCCACCAGGCCTCCCTGCCTCTGGGCCCCATGTTGGAGACCCACTAGCCCCTGCCAGACAACCCATGCTAGCCTTGTAGTTTATCTTCCACTCATCCATCCATCTTAGAGACAGCTGGAGGGCCGTGGTGTGGTCATGGCTCCTTGCAGGCTTGAACTCCCGGGGCTTGAATGATACTCCCGCTGGTGCCACAGGTGTACGCCACCACACCCGGCTAATTTTTTGTAGAGACAGAGCCTGGCTACGTTGTCCAGGCTGGCCTTAAACTCATGCCCTCAAGGGATCCTCCCACCTCAGCCTCATAAACCAGCGTACCTTCTAGAAGCCACACCTCCTCCTATTGCTAGCCTCGGAGCTGCACTGGCGCCACCGACACTGCCCACCAGGGGGCGCTGTGAAACTCAGTGTGATGAGCCCAGTGGAGCCCCCAATTCCATGCCCTGCACCTGCCCATTGCATGGGGCAACTAGACCTCTGCTACTCCCTGAGTGGCCCAGGGGTCAGCACCCTGGCTACAGCGCCAGCTACAATATCATCACCTGGGAGCTGGTTGGAAAAACTGCTGGAACTGGGAGCTGGTTGGAGAAATCTCAGGCACCAGGCTAGAGGTCTTGAAACAGGGTTTTTTTTTTGAGATGGAGTAACTCTCTTGGCAGGCTGGAGTGCACTGAGGCAATCTCGGCTCTCTGCAACCTCCCCATCCCGAGTTCAGGCGATTCTCCTGCCTCAGCCTCCTTAGTAGCTGGGACTACAGGCACGTACCACGATGCCTGGCTAATTTTTTGCATTTTTAGTAGAGATGGGGTTTCACCATGTTGGCCAGGACAGTCTCGATCTCTTGACTTCGTGATCCACCCGCCTCAGCCTCCCAAGGTGCTGGGATTACAGATGTAAGCCACCGCATCCGGCCTGAAGCAGGATTTTCACAAGACATTTTAACACACACAAGTCATGCCTGGGTAATTAATATACACATTAAAGCAGCATTGTTCAGATTATAAACATATGCGCTGATACACAGCATAGGCTTTCTGCGCCTCACATGATCCAGGGCGTGTGTCAGCACATGTTAAGGAATTTCCCCCACCCCCCAAGGACAAGGGACATAACTGAGTCAGACCAATCAGCTCCTTCTCAGACCCTTTTCTCCCAAGCCCTGACCCGGAAGAAGAGGCTCACTGACCTATGGCCAGTTTCTATGAGACCTAGCAGCTAGAATCCCAGGAAAGCTGCTGGAGTGTCGGTTCAGAATAATCATTAATTTCAAGCGTTTTACCTCAGGCCAAATCAGTGAACTAAGTAACCAAGGGGGCCCGGCATAGAGTGGGAAGCAGAGCTACCTGGTGTGCGTCACCAGGAGGGTCTACCACCCCAAAGTGCTCTGGGGGGAGGAGGGAGGGGTCACAGGGTTTGTTTGCGGTCAGGAGATGGTGGCAGACCAGAGGACTGGACTGAAGGATGTGACCTCCTCAGCTTTCATCCGGAGTCCAGGGCTCTAATGTATGCTGGGTTTCTCAGGCAGCATTGAACCCCAGTCCCCAGACAGCCCCTAACTGGGTCAGCAAGAAGCCAGACAAGAGTCTCGCCTCCTAGACAGACCCAGGCTGACAATGATTAACCACCTTGGGCCTACCCCCAGGGCCTTAGCAATGCCAACTGGCCACCAGCCTACCCAATGTGTGGGCAGTGCACCCTCCAAAACCCATCTCAACATTCAGGAAAAGGCTCAAGCGCCTAGAACAAGACCTGTGGGTACTGAAGAAAGAGTCCAAGAAAAAAACCCACTATAAATGGCATTAGCTACCTGGGTGCCCCCCAGGAGCGAGCTTAGCACTTAAATACACTTCCTTCCCATTGCATAATTTAATGTGATTTTATTTAAAATTTGTTGTTTTTATCATGACCCTGTATTTGTAGTGAAATTAACTACCCTCAATGCCTTACAGCCACAGCTGTATAGACAGCTGTACAGACCTGTGACTGAATGATGCCCAGATCAATTCCTCCCCGACCCGCCTTCAGTCTACACGCAGGCCAAGCCAATCTAGCCTTGAGGCATGTGCTGCTGTGTTCTCTCAGCCTGGAAGCCCTCCCCAACTCCCTATACCTCCTGCTTCCTATCTCAGACTTCAAAACCCACGGCTCCAAATGCAGGAGTAAAAGCTCTTCTCCTAGGAACTTCCTCCTATGTATATAAATATATGAATCCCCCCCTAATAATAAGGTCGTATGTTTCTCAGTGCTTAGTATGTGCCAGGCACTGTTTTCTGCTTTACCTATCTGAGCTCATTTAATCTTTCAATATTGTAGGTACTATTATTCCTATTTTGTAGATGGAGAAACCGAGACAGAGATTGACATACCTCCTTGATTAATATATAGGGAAGCTACATAACACACAAAGGTAACTGCACGTTCTTAGAATCAGGACAAGCCGGGCGCGGTGGCTCACGCCTGTAATCCCAGCACTTTGGGAGGCTGAGGCGGGTGGATCACAAGGTCAAGAGATCGAGACCATCCATGGTCAACATGGTGAAACCCCGTCTCTACTAAAAATACAAATAATTAGCTGGGCGTGGTGGCGCGCGCCTGTAATCCCAGCTACTCGGGAGGCTGAGGCAGGAGAATTGCCTGAACCCAGGAGGCGGAGGTTGCGGTGAGCCGAGATCGCGCCATTGCACTCCAGCCTGGGCAACAAGAGCGAAACTCCGTCTCAAAAAAAAAAAAAAAA